GAAATAGTGGGTTTTCATGCAACCTGTAACAAATTTCAAAGGATTGAAGCTCCCCCACCCTAGCCCTACAGTGTGTGCTCCCTTCACAGATATATAGGAAGCTGGAAATAAATTAAATGGAAAGCACTTGGATAATCACCAACCACTTTGAAATTCAGCATGTACCTATAGGAAAAGGAAACCAAGAACGGAAAAAAGCCCATACGCCAAGAAGAAAAACGCAATGAATGTTAAAGTGCATTACCATTACCCTAAGTCTTCCTCCCCATCAAATCACTTTAGGTAGAAGAAGGAGTCACCTTAGTTCCATTAATTGCCAAGCAGCCTCCTCTGATTTTGATGCAAAAGGATAGGGACATGTCCCACTGTGACATCTGCATGTTGACACTTCAACCACCCTGGTTAAAAGGAAACGCTTCAACAGAAACCCACAGGCAGATATGTCGACGATCTCACCACCTTACCCCTTAATCTCCAGGCACAGGAAGGCAATTACTGGTTCAGCCCTGGTCACCCCACCACCCTTTGGGCCAATGGCCGTGGATCCTGAGCTGCCAGTTGCTTGTTGGCTGCTGCCAGCGGAGGCTGGGAGCACAGATGCTCTCATTGGAGCAACCCATCATCCAGGCATAATTGCAGGGCAGGAAGCCTTTTGTGTCAAAAGGGAATGATGGTAGGCTATCAAGGCACAGAATCAGATAAATTTGAAGGAAGTGAAGTATGCCTTACTATTTTATTTTATTTTATTTTATTTTATTTATTTATCTATTTATTTATTTATTTTTATTTTGTTTTGTAACATTAATCACCTAAAGTAGGCCTTTCACAAGGTCGGGAGATTGAATAGGGTAATGATTCTCGATAGGTTGAGTTTTCTGCACGGTGTTTGGGTCCTCTTTTATCTATTTAACTGAATTAGAATGAGGGGATACTTTGATGGAATCCGAATGGGGCAAGTGTGTGTTTTGTATCTGCTACAGTGCTTCACTTGTTGCTGTATCAACACATTCGGAAATTCTCTATGGGGATACTATTCGACACAATTGGGAGAAGGACAATACAAAAGGCAATTAAAATTATTGTGGACCCAGCTGTGACCGTAAAGAGTCCCGAAGACGCTGACCTAAAGGACTGGGCCACTTAGGAATGTGATGAAATGTGACACGGTCAAGGAAAATCATAACAGACTGCACCACACACATATATTAAAGTGGACTTGCTCACGGTAAAGTTGTTTTAAGAACGGGCAGGGACGCCTGGGTGCATCAGTTGGTTAAGCGAGTGCCTTTGGCTCAGGTCATGAACCTGGAGTCCCGGCATCGAGTCCCACATCAGGCTCCCTGCTCAGCAATGAGCCTGCTTCTCCCTCTGACCGCCCCCCCCCTCATGCACTCTCTCTCTCTCATTCTCACTCTCTCAATAAATAAATAAATCTTTAAAAACAAAAAAAGAATGGGCAGAATGGCACAGGTCCAACGCTAGAGTAGATGGGTCTCTGGAGAGTTACAGGTCTCTTGTGCCAAGTGAGGTGGCTCTGAAAAGAGCCTTTGGTTTTCGAGGTGGTCTGGCGGTCCGGAGGCAGCTCATTTGCGTCTGTAGACCTGATGACGGCTTTGATAGCCTCGGATACAGCATGCTTGCCAATCTCCCCTGGCAGCACTAGGCGCACAGCTGTCTGGATATCCCTGGTGGTGATGGTGGAGCGCTTGGTGAAGCGGGCCAGGCGAGAGGCCTCCTCGGCGATGCGCTCGAAGATGTCCTTGACGAACGAATCCATGACGCTCACGGCCTCCTGCGAGAGGCTCAGGCCCTCGTGAACATGCTTCAGAACCCTGGCGAAGTAGGTGGCGAAACTGTTGGGGCAGCGGCGGCAGCGGCGGCAGACAAGGTGGTGGCAGCCGCGGCCATGGCCACGACAGCAGCCTCCGCGCCTGGGCTGCTTCTGCTTCAGGCTCATCGGGTCCGCTGCTGTGAGCTCCTCGGTGCTGAGGCTTTCCTCAGAAGAGGTCTCACAGCCAGGTTCAGCCATGTGGGGCTCACCTTCCCGACAGCTCAGAAGGAAGGGCACTGGCGGCGGATTGAGCAGCGAGGGCCCATTTATAGTCACTGCATTTCCTGACATAACCGTTAAGTCCTATCTGATTGGACAGTATGTAAATCTAAGAAGCAGGTCACTGAGCCAGGTCTTGTCAGATCTGACTGCTTGCCCTCGAGCTTGAGCTTGACGTCTCTTCAGTCAGAGTCGGAATCAGGCGTCCTCTAATTTTCTTGTGACGGCCACTAGAAAAATGTCAAATATTCCATGTAAAGGTGTAGTTTCCTCCAGATTTCCAATATGAATTTTTTTTTCAAGGTGAGTCAGAGAGAGAGGGAGGGGAATGGGGAATGGGCAGGGGGAGAGGGAGAGACTCCCAAGCGGGGTCCAAGCTCAGCACAGAGCTTGATGTTGCTCTGTATTTCACAAACCTGAGACCGTGACCCGACATCTGGAGGTAAACTACAACTTTACATGGAATGTTTGAACGTATTTCTGGTGGCCGCCCCAAGAAAATTAGAAGCCGCCTGATTTCGATGTCAAGCTCCAGGGAAGCAATCCGAACTGACAAGACTTGGCTCAGTGACTCACTTCTTGTCTTTGCATTTTGTCCAATCAGATAGGACTTGCCAGTGACGTCAGGAAATGGAGCGACTATAAATGGGCAGCACCACTCAAGCCGCCGTCAGTGCCCTTCCTTCTGAGCTGTCGGGAAGGCAAGCCCCACATGGCTGAACCTGGCTGAGACCTCTTCTGAGAAAAGCCTCGGCACCGAGGAGCCCACGGCAGCAGACCCAAAGAGCCCGAAGCAGAAGCAGCTGAGTGGCGGAGGCCGCCGCCATGCCTGCCGCCGCCGCTGCCGCCGCTGCCCCGACAGTTTTGCCACCTACTTCCCCAGTGTTCTGAGGCATGTTCACTTGGGCCTGAGCCTCTCGTGGGAGGCCATGAGCATCATGGATTCCTTCGTCAAGGACATGTTCGAACACATCGCCGAGGAGGCCTCTCGCTTGGCCCGCTCCACCAAGCGCCCCACCATCACCACCAGGGATATCCAGACAGCCGTGCGCCTGCTGCTGCCCGGGGAGATTGGCAAGCACGCTGTGTCTGAGGCCACCAAGGCCGTCATCATGTTCAACAGACGCGAATGAGCTGCCTCTGGACCGCCTGACCACCTCGCAAAACAAAGGCTCTTTTCAGAGCCTCCTCACTTGGCACAAGAGACCTGTAAATCTCCAGAGTGTCACCTACTCTAGCGTTTGGACCTGTGCCATTCTGCCCATCCTTAAAACACCTTTACCGTGAGCAAGTCCCTTTAATATATGTGTTTGGGCAGTCTGTTATGATTTGCCTTGACCATGTCGCATTTCATCACATTCGTAAGTGGCCCATTCCTTCAGGTCAGCGCCTTCGGAACTCTTTATGGTCACAGGTGGGTCCACAATAATTTTACTTGCCTTTTGTATTCTTCTCCCACTTGTGTCGAGTAGTATCCTATAGATAATTTCCGAGTGTGCTTATAAAGCAACAAGTGAAGCACTGTAGCAGATACAAAACTCACACTTACCCCATTCACATTCCCTCAAAGTATCCCCTCATCCTAATTCAGTTAAATACATAAAAGAGGACTCAAACACCGTGCAGAAAACTCAACCTATCTAGAAACGCACCCTACTCAAGCTCCCGACCTTGTGAATGGCCTACTTTAGGTGATTAATGTAACATAATAAAATAAAAATAAAGAAATAAAGAAATGAAATGAAATGAAATAAAAAAAGAAAGGCATACTTTACTTCATTCAAATTTATCTGATTCCGTGCCTTGGTAGCTTACCATCTTTCCATTTTGACACAAAAGGCTTCCTGCCCGGAAATTATGCCTGGATGACGGGGTCGTCCAATGAGAGCAGCTGTGCTCCCAGCCTCTGCTGGCAGCAGCCAATAAGCAAGTGGCAGCGCAGGATCCACGGCCATTGGCCCAAAGGGTAGTGGGGTGACAAGGGCTGAACCAATAATAGCTTTCCTGCGCCTGGAGATTGAGGGGAAGGTGACGTGATCGTTGACATGTCTGCCTGTGCGTTTCTGTTGAAGCGTTTCCTTTTAACCAGGGTGTTTGAAGTGTCCACATGCAGATGTTACAGTGGGACCTGTCCCTATCCTTTTGCATCAAAATAAGAGGAGGCTGCTTGGCAATTAAGAGAACTAAGGCGACTCATTACTCTACCTCAAGTGATTTGATGGGTAAGAGGACTTAGGGTAATCGTAATGCACTTTACACTCATTGTGCTTTTCTTCTTGGCGCATGGGCTTTTTTCCTTTCATTGTTTCCTTTTCCTATAGGTACATGGTGAACTTCAAAGTGGTTGGTGATTATCCAAGTGCTTTCCATTTTATTGATTTCTACCTTCCTATATATCTGTGATGGGAGAACACACTGTAGGGGTGGGGTGGGGGGGGCTTGAATCCTTTGAAATTTGTTACAGGTTGCACGAAATCCCACTATTTTGTTATGTTTGCTATGTGTTCCATGTGAACTTTTAAAATAATTCTAAATGACCTTTCATTTAAATATAGAAGCCAGTGAATGGTGTCACTCTGAGCCGAAGAGTGAGACAAAAGCTAGGTAAACTACAGCAATCCAATCGTTTCCTGAGCCCATTAGTTGAGAGATAAAGCCAAAGGCATATGGAAAGGGATGGGGGACTTGCTGCATAAATACCCAAGGAAAGCTACCATAAAATGAAGTGCCAGTAAATCCCTGTGGTTGGTCCTTAGAAATTGCCATTTACATTGGGAACTGAATTTTTGAAGCCAAAAGCTCTTTTTAGAGCCATATGCTTTTTCAGAGAAAGGACTGTGGACCATTTAGAAAAATAAAATCGTGCTTATATAAGTCACTTAATTTCTATCATGCTGATTGCTGCTGGTTCAAAAGGCCCTTTTTGTCTACATGACTTACAGTGGTTTTTCAAGTTTATTCATGCACACTGGTCTCATACATATCATATTATTTAAAAAGTCATTTTAAGAAAGCAAATCCAGAGGAGCTAGGGAAGATGGCAGAAGAGGAGGAGCCTGAGCTCACCCCGTCCCACATTTAAAACTAGATATCATCCAGAAAAATTAATAAACCAGAGAGCAACCCAAAGACTGGAAGAACAAACCCCACAACTAAATATAGGGAGGAAGCTGCATCTGAAAGGTTAGGAAGGTCAGAAACGTGGAGGGAGGCTGCCAGCAGGAAGGAGGGAGCTGAGCATGGGGAGAGGGCAGAGAAATGGGCCCTCGAACCAGGGAGCTCACACGGGGGAGGCTAATGTCCATACCTTTTGGCTGTGGAAACCAGAAGGGCTGAATACCATGAGTTTGTATAACCAGTGGGACTTGGAGCCTGGACTTCACACTGGGCAAGCCAGGAGGGCATGTGACAGCTGGGTCGCCACCCTTAAAGAGAGAGCAGCCTGTGTGGAGGGGCGACATAAAAACGGCGGTTTGCACCATGCCAGGGGCAAACGGCAGACGGAACTGTTCATACTGATTTTGGAGCGTGGTGGGGGACCTCTCTGAAGAGGGAGGAGCTGCAGGGGCCATTTTCCTCCCCTGTGCCCCAGCATAAAAACGGGCCCATCAGAGCACTGCATGGACACTTGCTACCTAAGCTCCTAGCAGTGTGCCATGCCCAGCAGTTCTCCTGAGGAATTGCCCACTCCAGGCCTGCTGGGCTCAGCTGTCGGTTCAGGGCAAATTTTGTTAAAGCGGTGCATACCCCACCCAGCCACCGGGTGCACAGCTGCTTCCTTGCCCAGCTGCAGATCCGTGCCCAGCTGTCATTCCTCGCCCAGCCATGCACCCGCAGCCACCATTGTGGGTGGGGCCCAGCTGCACCCAGTCATTGCCATCGAGCGACTCCCAGCCTCATGCCGCTAGCCAACCCCACGCACAGATCCAGGGGCCACAGCGCCTGAAGGAATCTGGCGTAGGACTGGTGGCCCAATGCACATTTTGCTCCCAAGTTCCCTGGTAGGCAGATCCCCCCTGTTCCCAGAGCTGGCCTGCCTGGGTCCCAGTAACACCACAGAGAAGCAGCACAGACTGCAACAGGCAGAGTGTCAGTGCAGATGACTGCACTGAAAGAAAGTGACTCAGACACAACAGCAGGGCATAAGCAACACACATAGGATATTCTCCTGAAGTGCCAGGTTCTGGTGAACAGGGGACACTGCACTGAGGGCACTCTGGGACTACTTCTTCCTAAAGTTGCTACTTCCAAGATCAGAAGACATAGTTGACTTTTGTAACACGCAGGAACAGATACAGAGAGGCAGACAAAACGAGGAGACAGAGAATTTATCCCATACGAAAGAAGGGGACGAGGCCACGGCCAGAGATCTAAGACAAACAGATGTAAGTAACAGGCCTGATAGAGAATTTAAAGCAATGATCAGTAAGGATACTCACTGAACTTAGGAAAAGAGTGGAAGACATGAGTGAGACACATGATAAGGACTAACAGAGAGATAAGGAGTAACATAGCAGAGATAAAGGGCTCAGTAAATGAAATGAGAAACACGTTTGATGGAGTGAACAGCAGGATGGACAAAGCAGAGGAATGAATGGGTGACCTCGAAGACAGAGTAATGGCAAGGAATCAAGCTGAACAACAGAGATAAAAAGGAATTATGCAAAACAAGAATAGACTTAGGGACCTCATGGGCTCCATCAAATGTAATGACATACACATTATAGGAGTCCCAGAAGAAGAAGCGAGAGAAAAGGAGGCAGAACATTTCTTTGAAGAAATAGTAGCTGAGAACTTCCCTAACCTGGAGAAGGAGGCAGACATCCAGATCCACGGGGTACAGGGAACTCCCATTAAAATCAAAAGAAACAGACCCACGCCAAGACATATGTAATTAAATCGGCAAAATATAGTGATAAAGGAAAATTTGGGACCATCAACTTAATATAGATTGCTATATACAGAAGAGTTTATATGCAAACTTAACGGTAAACACAAATCAAAAACCACTAATAAATAGGCAAAGAATGAACAGAAAGGAATCCAAACCCTCATTAAAGAAAATCAGCAAAACACGAAAGAGAGAAAGACAAGAAAAGATCAGAGAAAATCTTCAGAAACAACCACAAATCAGGTAATAAAGTGGCAATAAATACATATCTATCAACAATTACTTTGAATGTATATGGACTCAAAGCTCCAATCCCAAAAGACATAGGGCGACAGGATGGATTAAAGAAAAAAAAAGGCTCATCTATATGCTGCTTATAAGAGACTCGTTTTAGACCTAAAAACACCTGCAGTTGGAAAGTGAGGGGATGGAGAAACATCCATCATGCCCATGCATGTCAAAATAAAGCTGGAGTACCAATACTTGTACTGGACGAACTAAACGTTATGGTTTCACTCATATGTGGAACATAAGGAATAGCATGGAGGATATTAGAAATAGGAAAGGAAGACTGAAGGGGTTAAACAGAGGGGGAGACGAAACATGAGGGACTATGGACTCCCGGAAACCATCTGAGGGTTTGAGAGGGGAGGGGGGAGGGGGATGGGGGAGCGGGGTGACGGCTATTAAGGAAGGCACGTGTTCTGATGAGCACTGGGTGTTATATGCAAATAATGAATCATGAACACTACATCAAAAACTAATGATGTACTGTATGGAGACTATCATAGCACAATTAAAAAAAAAAGCCTGCAACAAGGGACAAAGAAGGACACTGTATAATAATAAAGAGGACGCTCCAATAAGAAGATAAAACAATTGTAAATATTTATGCACCCAATATGGGAGTACCCAAATGCATAAAACAGTGAATAACAAGCACAACAGAAGTAATCGATAATAATACAATAGTGGAAGGGGACTTTAACATCTGACTTACATCAAAGGACAAATGATCTAAATAGAATATCAACAAGAAAAGAAGGGCATTGAATGACACACTGGACCAGATAGGTTTAACAGATATATTCAGAACATTCCATCCTAAAGCAGCAGAATACACATTCTTTTCAAGTACACAGGGAACGTTTTCCAGAATAGATCACATCTTAGCCCACAAAGCAAGCCTCAACAAATTCAAGAAGTTCAAAGACATACCCTGCATCTTTTCTCACCACAAAT